ATATATATATATATATATATATATATATATATATATATATATGGTTATTACCAATGCATATATTATTATTTTATTACGCAAACAGGAAAGTTATGATGGAAATCTTCATGTTTAAAAGCCCAAAATACATTAATACGCGTATCCTCCGAATGGTGGGTGTGTGCGTGTGTACACAAAGCTGCTTTGAGATATCTTTAAAAATAATATTATGACCGAACGTTTTTTTATTATAACGTGCTGCTGCCGCACGAAGAAACTTGGAAATAATTTCTGGAGTGTGATATTCGCGTTGTGTCTCGATAGTTCTTGATACTCAAATAATTAGACGACATACCATTTGACCGAAGGAGTTATCTCCTCCCCAGTCTTTCCCACTGGACGCGTCGTCCGACGATTCCATTCGCGTGAGGTTCGAACTGTCACTTCCACCATCATTTTCATGATTTAATTCACCCACACTTTTGTCATTTAACGGCTGTCGATGCGGATTAGACGAGACGAAACTCCAAGAGAGGAGAAATACTAAAATCACTGAAATCTTCATCCTCGACAAGGCTTTGCAAACTGATACCTGTTGTCGTTAATCGTTGCGTTTTATACTCCTTCTAGCAATTGTGAAAACATTCTGTTTCCTCGCAAAGGTGCGATGGGTGTCCAAATGTTGTTCCAAAGCGCGTTACGCGCAACTTCGATTCGTCATTTGATTTTATTTAATTTATGGGTCTATATATTTTCTTCGAAAGCACCCCCGTTCTTTGAACGATTACAAGTCACAGCAGCGATAGATCAGGAATATCGACCCGAGACGTTATTCGTCACGCATTTGAAGCTTGCGTGTGCGCAATTTACTCGTAATTTTATAAGTACGGGGGAAGGGAGGGAGAGGGGGGACTGAGGTTGCAAAGCGTAAAAGCAGACATAAACTTATAGTACAACGTAAACTTTAATCGAGTACACTCGTCCGGAAAAGATGATGAAACTTGCGCAGTTTACTTAAAGAGATCTCGATGTTGGCAGATTTATAACGAGGATATTAAACCTGCGCTTATCGGCACGAATGTCTCAAGTAATACATCATATTTCTCGTTTTATTTTTAGCAACAGAGGCATCCGCCTCTTGTTCTTGGTTGGATGTTCCTGGTGCTGCCGTTCCTACCCGCGTCCAATCTCTTCGTCACCGTGGGCTTCGTCGTCGCCGAGCGAGTTTTGTATACGCCGAGGTAACCGCGCCAACTGCTCGCCAAATTATCACGTAATCACGACGATTGATGCCGAACGGCCGACGTGAATTCCCCCCGTGTAAATTTTACAGTGTCGGATGGATCATTTTGATCGTCTACGGTATGCAGGTGAGCTGGACAGCCGTGCCACGACGGAGAAGTTGGATCACCACGGGAGTGGTACTCCTGCTCGTGCTAGGATGTTTCCGGACGGTGCTTCGGAATAACGATTGGACGTCCAGAGAAACTTTAATCAAGTACGTGATAAGGAATTATTTCCGCGGAAGCCAAGGAGGGATTTTTTTTTGGAGCACAGAGATAAATTATTCGATAAGAAATTAACAGACGGATATTTCTGACCAAAATATCGAATTTTTGTATCTGATCAGAAAACATCTGATGAGAAATATCGGTTCATAACTTTTTGAGAGGTTTATCTGATGAGTGCCATTATGAATCGGAAGTATTCGATTAAATTTAATCGGATATCCTGATAGGCTGTGAAAATTCATCGGTATTTTGATCGGAAATATCCGTTTGCTAATTTTCTATCGGATAATTTCTCTCAGTGAGGGAGGGGCGCTCTGTGATCGATAATAACCTTATATTATAAAGCGTGTCTGGGTGTATCAACTTCGCGCGGCAACGATCAATATAAGTAATCGTCTCTCGCAGTCGTTGCACGCAATCGTATCCACCTCGCAATTACCGCAAAAATGATCTCGTCACGCGAAGATGTCCGTGTGGACATTCGCGACGAGCGCTTCGTTCCGACTTAAACGAGAAGGCTGGCGCGCTGCCAGTATTGTAAAGCTTCGCGAACTCCGTGCAGCCGCTAGGCGCCGATTGTATGGGGTCGCGAAACATAACTAACGTAGATACGGGATGACGAGGGTGGTGAGGGTCGTGTCGAGGTCGGAAGGATGGTCTTGTCTGACCTCAAATCGCCTTGTTTCAGAGCGGGGTTGCGGTCCCTGCCCTACAATGCCAAGATGCATTACAACTTTGCCAACTTCCTCAAAGACACGTCGCAACCGAACCTTGCGGTCCACCATTATCAGTTGGCCCTCTGGTAAGTACGCGGTGATTCTCTTTCTCGCGCAGAATGGTCGGTATGCAAAATCTCGAAGCGTGTATTGAAACAAAAGTGACGTTCGTTTACTCGCGCGGGAACAATCGCGCGGGCGTTATTGCCTGCCAGGGAGAGTGTTGTTATGCGCACACTTCGTATACCTTTCGTTATCTCGGAGTCAAAGAATAACACAGGGATTGTTCTCGTCTCGAATTGTCGGCCAATATCCCACGATTCGTTGTCTCGGAATGTACAATTTCTTAATTAGCGACACATTTCAACAGAGACTCGGCATTCCCGCCGTTGCTTGACGTGCCGACGACACTGCTCAATTATTTGCAATTGTTCTTTGTATCATCTTTCTTATACGAGATTAATCTTGAACACACTTTGCATGTAACGGGAACTCATTCGACTGCGCGTGTCGTTTAACAAGCCTTTACTTCAATGAGCATTATAACTGATTCGTGAATGGACTTTCTTCTTTTTGAGTACGCTCTCGATATCACGCGAAATCGATTAAATTTGTAATTCGCTGCTGACGCTTAATCATTTCCCGATAAATATTTTCGCTGCGACATTCATCTGCACAATGAATTGCGTGTGTACGAAAGTTTACGTTGAAACGCGTGATGGCAGAGATAATCAACGCGATATGAGTACACAACTGGCGGAAGATAGCGTTGCGATGCCGATATCGATATAATTTCAACGATAAAATCCGTCATTCCATAAATCATCATAAATCTTACTTTATTGCCATGTCAGTAGCGCAATGCGGCGCAACGCGGAGTTCCTATTCATTCCAATTATATTTTTACTAAAAACAGAGAAGATACCGCAAAAACATATACACACACACACACACAACGAAATTGGATCATATTTATTCGGATTTCAACCAAATTCAAAGGGATGAATAAAAGCTTATACTAATATACTTGACCTCGTAGCATTTGCAACAATGCTAAAGTCGCGAGATCCTATTAAATAATTCCAGCGTCATGAGTCCGATAGTCTGCACGAACAATTATCACGTATCCTGCTCAGAATACTGAATGAACATAGACTAAACTTGTGTGAAAAATTCAGTAAGACTTTAAATATAGCGTATAAATATGCCATAACGTGATAAATTTCTGAAACGTGTTAAATATTACAAACATTATATGTTGTGTTTGCCTGCAGTTTGCTATTTACGTATCTTTCTTTACGTATCTAAGAAAGATATATGTTCATGGAGAAAAGTGGGCCACGCGACATTTGAGAAAGTTTCTCAAATGCATCTCTCTAAAGCACGCAGGATTATCTGAACGAGATGGTCTTCGAGCACTGGCGCCGGACTTGTCTGGTGACTGTTTGAACAGCCGACCAAATAATTGCCAGCTGCTTGTGTTGTTGCCTCATATGCGCAATTCGTTTCGTGTGTGGCTAAACGCGTCGAATCATACGCCCATTTTTAGACTTTTATTAAGACAGCTTACTCGCTCTGACGATTAATGAACGACTATCCGCGTAAAAACCACATGTAATTGTGTACCTGTCACGATACGTTTAAAATATAGCTGTCACAGATCCATTTGAGACGCTCGCCAGCGAAATATTACGATAATGAAGTCACTCGGAATTCCTTCATTATTGGACAATCGACATCTGACGAATCATCGCAAGAGAACTTGTCATTATCGGCTCAAATATCGGGTTGATGCACAAGTCCGTGCGAATTTTTAAACAAAATTGAAGTGCATTTTATTCTTGTTAAAAACAATTTTAATCAATAATATATGTGCCATTTTTTTTGACGATCTTTCGCCACTTTTCGCGTGTAATTTCATAATTTCTTTCTTGTATAACATTTTTGGTTTTTTTCTGACGAAGAAACGTCCCGAATGATTTTTCATATCTTCTGATGAAGCGAAGTTTATACCGTCAAGGGAGTTCTGTAATGAGCGAAAAGAATGTTAATTAGAGGGTGTAATATTGGATGAATACATGGATGGGAGTGAGGAAAAACATCCCAGTCAAATTCCAACAATTTTTGCAAAGTAAAAAAGCATAATACATCGGAAGAACTCATTATTGCCTTTCATTTTCAAGTCGCAGACAAAGACAACTGTCTTTCTTCAAACACTATCACATACATTGCAAATATGCTGTCAGCTACCAAAGCTTGTATTGCAGATAGCTAACTCTGTGCGGAACTACTCTAATACTTCCTAATACAAAAATGTGAATGCCTATTAGACAAAAATTTGCACGAACTTATGGATTAATTCAATACCATAAAAAAGTACTCTTACTTTCTACTTTGCGTTTATGTATTCGACGGAACAAATTACGCATGAGCAGATATCAAACATAAATTCATGAATATGAATGTTACTCCGTGAAAGAACGTATCGCCTCGATGTACATGCATTTGCATTCAGAACGCGACTTGATACCCTTCACGGTGGATGTATCACGATGAAGTAGAGGAAGAGGGAAGTAATTAAAAGGATTTATTTATAAATTTCAGAATTGCTGAAGAATTTTAATCAACTTTCAGCTTCGTCTCCCCCCTTACGACTTTATAGTAATTCTTTCATCTTTCGGCAACGGAACACGGTAAATTAATGCATAAACTTATCGGTACAATATAATTGCAAATTGTAGATTTACATTTTTTTCACCAACCCACCAAATGCTCGTTGCTCCTACCTTGCTGCTCACGATTTACATCGCGGATCATGTCGTCCCGGCAATCCTTCACGAAACAACGTCGATTACGTCATATTATCCTTTATTATTATTCAGGTCCGCGTATGGTTAGCTTTCTGTCATCACACGCGCGCAAATTCTACTTTCACCCGCTTAATCTGTATTTCTCCATCTATAGCGGGAACGGAATACACGGAATATTATAAAAGGATGACGTAGTGTGCAATCTTGTTATGCCGTGCTACACGCGGACCTTCTCTTTCTCTGCTCCTCAACTATAGGTCGAGCCTTTTTCTCGTCGCGTCTCCCTCGTGCACAGCGCGAGCAGGGTCGCAGCAAACCGACAAAAGTGCATTAATTAGCCGCAGCTCGACTGCGCTCGAGATGAAGTGGTAACCAGTCATTCGTTTTTTCTGTTTCGCTCTCTCGTTCCGTTCCTCCGTCACTCGTTCCGCGCTCCTGTAATTTCTGCATGCGCATTTCTGCCCCCCCCCCCTGCCCTGCTCCTCCTCTACGAGTACTCCGCGAATTTCGTTATCCCGCTTGTCGCGCGCGGGGGTTGGTACGAGACTCGTGCGCGCGGTGATGGGTGACGCGCGACGTAAAAAATAATCGGCCGTCGGGAAACGAACGTGCCCTCGCTTTGAGCTGGCGGGACGCGTGTTTTCGCGCTGCGTCACGACTCATCATCGTGCAATCATCTGCGGCAAACCGATAAATCGAACCGGTCGCTCCCCCGCACCGCGCTTTAACCACGCGCGAACGCTATGTGCCGTGCGATGCGTTTCGCAACACCGCGCACGCCCGCGTCGGATTGTTTCATCGTAATATCGGATTATTTGTCTACGCGGACGCAATCAATCCGGTAAACATATCGGGAGAATGGCGGTGGCGCGGTGCGGGCGAAAAATTGAAAGGACCAGGGGGGAAGGGAGTGAGACGGGTGAGAAAGGAGGAGAACAGGGAGAATTGGTCGCTGCGGCGGAGTAGCAACCTGGCGGAGTAGCAGTCGCGGCGAGGCGGGGGTGCAGCTGCAGTTAGATGAAAATTGCATTTCGGCGGTGCACCCGCGTTCGCGTCCAGTCCGCTCACTTGTAGATCTCATTTCCTACCGCTGAGCTCTCTCCAGCCGTTCCTGCAGGCAGGCAGCTCGCACCTCCTTTTTCCTCTTTTTCTCCCTTTAGCCCTCCCGCTTTTCCGTCCTTTTTGCGTCACCACTGCGTGGCGATCTATGCGGCTCGGCCGGTATTGGCTCTGAAAAATCGAATCGCCGACTAACCAGCAATTTCCTCCACTTGTTTCGTGTGCCAAATCGTCGCGTCGTACATACGTACGCTATTCCAGTCGACGCATAACGGCTCGTATGTTCGGCAAGAGGGGGGAGAGAGAGAGAAAGAGAGAGAGAAAGAGAGAAAGAGAGAGAGAGAGAGAGAGAGAGAGAGAGAGAGAGAGAGAGAGAGAGAGAGGGAGAATAAGGAAGAAACCGCCTATCCTTCCATCAATCTAACGTTTATCTCTTGCTGGAAGTGCGTGTTTTTTATGGTTGTATTGGTTAACGCGCGATTCCATAAAATCCCTTTCGAGAAAACGACACGATTCACCCTTACCTCTGCCCCAGTTTCGCGCGTGTATGCATCTCGCATTTCTACCGCGTGTCCCACCCTACGTTATAGCGGGCGCGTTCATCGTCCACAAACACTCTGGCTTCTGGTTTTGAACCTCGCGCGACGAATTAGTTTTCGATCTGTCGTACGAAATTTCCCCGAGGAGAGAGCTATGGTGAAGTTTCACCTCCCGCCGGAATATCGCGTCGGGTAAGTAATTTAAAGTAGCCCCCGAGATTGACCCGGTCCGTGCACGAGTAATAATTGAGCGTCGCCGGAAGAACATAGAGTTCTCCCGGGGTGTTCGCTTCGGCGGCTGTTTCACCCTCGCCCGTTTTTCTCCCTCTCTTTTTCTCTCTCTCTTTCTTCTCCATTCTCTCTCTTTCTCTGGAGCTCTTATTGCATTCGTGGAAAGAATGGCGCGAGGTGTCCTGAGAATTGTGAGCGGAAGATAAAGAGGAAGACGAAATGAAATGAAAAAGGAGAGGCGAGCATACTCGGTCGATGGAACGTCGTAGAATCGAGGTAAGACGCGACTTTTCTGTTTGCTTTTCATTCGCCGGGAAAAGCGGACCGTATCGTGAAAACGCATTCCTACGCTCTCTTTTACTCGTCCTCCCCTCCTCTCTCTCTCTCTCTCTCTTTCCGATACGTTACTTTGGTATACAGTCACGTTACTTCCCTATCGGCTCGCCT